GTTGATATTAGAATCTCATGTCCTTTTCATCATCTTTCTTCCTTCGTTGAGTTACCTTTATATTTTTTAATCAAATCACGACAAATTAGATATGATGTAGATAGAGAGGCCAAATGTTCAATGTATTAGGTTAGAAACTAGGGGCAAATAAGCCGACAACAAAGTAATACGAGGAGAAGTGGAGGAAAATGGAGTATCAAAATTGAGGACACGATCACTAACTATATTCTTAAAGTGGGGAATAGATTTACCGATGGCTAATTACATTTTATTTCAACGAGAATCGTTGAAAATTATATAGCTGTGGTTTTACTTATTCATGTGTCTGTTGCATCCAGTAATTAACTCTATGGACAGAGGTAAACGAAGATGAATTGGCTAAACGCATTCAGGATTTTTATTTCATGAGCTAGAATTTGAAACTTTATCACATCTCAATTAGTTTCAGTGGTACGAATATAATATTCATATTTATTTAATAAATTTTACGACATATGTACAAAGTTTAAGTCAAAGCTATTATATCTTGTTGACAAGAAATGCTTAACATCTAGGTGTAATGGTCAATAAAGTGAATACTTACCTTAAAAATTACATAATTTAAAAATGAGCAGCGACAAAAATATATTAGTAGGTGATTAGCAGGCAGAACATCGGATTCTTGTACAAATGAGAGGTAGAAGGTATATGATGAAGCAATTGAGATGTATAAGCTGGTTTAGATACCACTATTATCCATAAAAAGTAAACAAATGATAATTTGTTATAAATAGAATTTTATTCATGGTGAATGCCTATATTTAGAGAGATTCTAGGGTTCATTGCTTGGTGGCTAAGTCACCCTCTCCCTATAAATAGAGGGTTGTATTCCATTGTAATTCATCACATATCAATAAGAATTCTCTCTACCTACTTTTCTCTGCAATACTCTTCTTCTTCTTCTTCTTTTATTTCATAATACGTTATCAGTACGAGACTCTAACCAATTGAGTAGAAGCTTTGGGATTGAGCATAATGATTGTCAATTATTCCATGAACTTCCTTCATGATTAAATTATGGATTTAAGGTAAGTATTTTACCGTATTTTTCTCTTTTATTCTATACTTTGATTTTAAATACAAGCAAAGACAACAAAGTTTGATTATAACTCTAATGGAGTTTGTAAGAAATTATAATCACCTGAAGTGGTAAAAGTTTCTATGTCTTGCCATGATCAAATTCATGTATGATTATGGGCACAAAAAGTGGAAACCTGTCCCATTGAATTTGCTCCATTCTCATTCCCTTAAGAGAATGTGATAGCAGTATGTGATAAGTCTGAAAGAAAACAAAATTATCATTATGAATGTATCAATGGATGTGGACGTGGCAATAGACGAAATTATAATCGTCATCATTGTGATAATGAGAATAATAAGGATTCTCAAAATAATCCCCCACTTGTGAAAATACTTGTCATCGATTTGACATGAGATTTTATAAAGCACATATAGATGATTATGGTCTATTCATGATGTGAATGTGACAACATCTGATTTAAGAATACATATTCATTTATGGAAGAATATGAGCGTGCTAGTGGTATATACCACACTCACCTCTAGAAGGAGGTTTGAGATGATATAAGAAAATAATATCATTATTATGGCATGAATAGTCATTGGTCACGTACCTATTGTACGCCAAAATATTTTGGCATTGTGATTATTAAAAGACAACGGTAATGCAAGAAACAGATCTTGCATATAATTTTGACCATAACCATAATGGTATAACTTTCTTTAAAAGAGATATTCACCATATAGGGGTTGATGAATATGTGGTACTACAAAGTTAATTGAGAACTCTGCAAGAGCCAATTATACTATTTTGGAGAAACACAATCACAATTAATTACCAATAAGGTATTGTGTTGTAGTAAGTCTCAAAGAAACTTATTCAGTTTCCAAAGTATACACGAAAGCGGTTGATTATATTGAGACTATAAATAAAGGAAAGATTTAATATCTTCTATTACTACAACTTGTAGCGGGGTAATATGTATGTGAAAAGCTACCCGCTTTATTCTCCAATTTGTACTACATAAACAAAAGAATACCACAATGAAGTGGATATTTATTGATATAAAAATCCTTATCATAATAAACTTGAATTTTATTGATAATTGCATATGTCATGGTGTAAACCTAGACTTTATCAATATTGATAATTTATCTAGTTGGCATAATCAGTTTAGCCATATCAATTTAAGCTTGTGTGCAAAAATAAAAGAGAATTCACATGGGTAAATATTAAAGAACTAGAAAGTTCTTTACGAATTCTCTTATGTTGCCTGTTCTCATTAATTAATAGACCAATTAAAATTGGGATTGAATCCCATGAATGCTGAAAATATCAAAGGTGAATATGGGCCCATTCACCTACCATGTATACCACATAAGATGCATCTATGAGATGGTTAAATGTGCAATTATTATTGACCCACAACCTGGTGTTTGCGAGGTAACTTGCTCAATAATTTAATATAAAGCATAATTTCCAGATTTTTTATTCAAGATAGTTCTTCTTGATAAGTTGGTTTACATCACAGTTGGTTTAGCAAAATAATTTATTGAGTGCCTCCACTTAATAGCTAAACTATTGCTTATGAGAACAAAGTTATCTATATCAGTTCGATATACGTTGTATACGAAAGTATATTATTTGCTCCCCTCACAAGTGGTTCAGGGTCAGGAACCAAATAATTCCATCTTATTATTATTGATGTGCGGTGTATATTATGATTAACACCGTAACGCACAAAGATGGGTTCTCAAAGTTGAGGAAACAAGTTAGTTTTTCTAACATGAGGGAGAGACATGATAAACAGTTGAGAAAAAGTTACGTGGAATGAATTATCATTTGTACATCTAGATCCTCGAATAAGATAATATGAACTTGAAGTTCATAAAAGGATAATTCATTTGCAATATATTGCAAAGCATGCCAGACGCATTTGCTGACCCAAAGAAAGTAATTATATTCTCATTGCAAATGCTCCTATTAAGTCCTAGAAGGACAAAGTCTATGGTACTCTTGAAGCTTATAGACAAATCGGTTTCAAATAAACTTCTTGATAAAGAAGATGAGCAAATGATCAAAATGATCATAATAAAGGAGGCAAGTGATCTAGAAGATCACATGACATAACACTTCATAAAATCTCATGAGAGATTCAGGTACCTGAATATATGAATGAAGAGATCTCTATATTATGTCTATATGAAAATAAGGAGGTTGGAACCGATATATAATGTTTGTCGACAACATCTATAATAACGCTAAGTATATATGAGGATCTTAAGTCTGGAGAAACGATTTCAAATAGAATTGGTTTCATATGAAAGACATGTAGTTTTGAACATGTAGTTCAAACACTTGAAAGTATAAAGTCAATAGTGTGTGCAATCACTTTTATTTATCTTATATGTCTAGCATGACATGAAAAGTTGATATGCATCTAAAGTCTATTTAAATGGCTTATTTGACTATACTTATATGACAATCCCCAAATGATTTAAATTGCTTAAAGCATATACAATTCTTGATCTTGAAGTACTACATCCTCAGTGCAATTTGTGCACATATGTATCTTGCTATAACTATAAGCATGATAATGGGATAGCGAGGATTTTCAAGGTGCAACATATTCGTTGGAGTTAATATGGCGGATTTATTCACCAAATCTTTGCCAACGTCAACCTTCAAGAAGCTAGTGCACAAGATTGGGATGCGAAGGCTCAAGGATGTGAATTGATGTTCTCATCTGGGGGAGTTAATACGCGTTGTACTCTTTTTTCCTTACAAGGTTTTGTCCCACTGGGTTTTCCTTGTAAGGTTTTTAACGAGGCAACCAAAAGGCGTATTGTTAGGTATGTGTACTCTTTTTCCTTCTCTAGAATTTTTTTCCACTGGGTTTTATTTTAGTTAAGGTTTTAACGAGGCACATTATCTGTTGAATAGACATTCAAGGGGGAGTGTTATAAATAGAATTTTATTCATGGTGAATGTCTATATTTAGAGAGATTCTAGGGTTCGTTGCTTGGTGGCTAAGTCACCCTCTCCCTATAAATAGAGGGTTCTATTCCATTGTAATTCATCACATATCAATAAGAATTCTCTCTACCTACTTTTCTCTGCAATACTCTTCTTCTTCTTTTATTATTTCATAATATAATTCTTTTTCTTTACTCAATTTGTTTTTCTTTTTGAGGGGCGAGGGGGCGAGGCGGGAAAGGTGGATATTTTTTACCCTATTGTGCCGTTTTTTTATAATTAAAAGTTTGTTTGTATCAACTGTGTCTTTATATATTTCCCACAAAACTATCATAAAATTTAGAGAGAAATATTATTGTGAATATTGAGTTATTTGCGTTTTCCTTATGCTCCAGATTTTATACTAGAAACTTTATCTTCCAAAATCATATTAATAGATTATTGAAAATTGATGTGTGTCACTAGTAGCACTTCAGACGGATATCCCCTCACAATTATTCTTTCTTTGCAAATTACCAAGATATAGAGACAAGAAGATAGAAAAGAAATACTATAATTATAGACCGAGACAAAAAATCTTAAACCCCAACAACCCCATCAAAATATGATTTGTTCACTTTGTTGTGTCCTTTCAAAGATGTCAATTCCACGGGATGTAAAAAATCAAATTCAGTACAACATGGTCCATTCAACATTTTACAACAAATATATGATGTTGAAATGTGCAAGTAACATTAGAAGTTTTCTTTTTTTTTTTTTTTTTCAAATGAAAGAATTTTGATATCACCAGGATGTTGAAGTTGATTAGTACAAATAGCGATCGACAGAAAGGAAACAGCACCATTAAAGTCTTTCCAAAAAGTAAATAAAGCAAAAGAGGGAGGTGTTTCCAAAACATGGTATTTCCCAGTCAAACTAGGTGGAATACGATTTCCATTTATGGCTCAAATAAATGGATAATATATTAATCAATCCATAGTCTCAGCTCTAAAAGCTGCAATTTGCAAATTAATTAATACCATCATCATCACCAGAACCAGATTCCCAGCCATATATGGAGCAAGCAATGCAGACTTTTTTAAAAGTAAAAAAAAAAAAAAAGAAGATAAAGGAGATCACAAACACATCTCCTTACATTACATCACAAAACAAAAGGTTATTATTATGCAGTTATGCTAGCTAAGACACTCGTTATTATTACAAAAAAAGTAATAAAAAGCTTTTTTGAAACAAAAACAAAAGACTAAACTTAAAACAAAGCAGAGAAAGTTTCCTCCAACTCTTCAACAACAGTAGCAATGTCAAGCTTCTTATTCTTGTTCCTCCTATCACACTTTGTCCTAATCTCACCATCTCCACCAGTCACCACGTTCAATTGTCCCATCTTGATCATACCAATCACAAACTTGTCAAAAAACAGCGACTGGTTCTTAGCAAAGCTCTCGACAATTCCCCTAGTCCTTCTATCAGTGAACAAATCTTGATCGGATGTGAAAAGCCCTTGCCTATTCATGAGATCAACGTAGTACTTGTTGTCAAATAAATTAGGGCTTCGAATGTCCATGTTGACAGTGTTGTTAGAATTAGCTGTGGGGCAGCTGCGTTTAAGGATGTTGGCGAATGTTTTGTCCATGGTTGGGTCTTGGTTAGGGAAGAGACGGTCGGTGAAGGAAGTGCAGTGGCTGATTCCGATGGTGTGGGCACCGGACAAAGCGACGGCGTCGGTGGCGTCTAAGCCCTTGGTTGCAAGCCGACTGAGGACGACTGTGGTGTTGGCAAATGGCGCAACAAGGTTGTCTAAGGTTGCTTGTTCTGTTGCAAAGGTCCGTCCGTCTTTTCTTCCCAAGGGCACATTGTAGTTGGGCCCACCAGTCTGAGAGGAACATATAATCTCATAAGTAACAATACATATGCAAAGTCAAAATTTGAAGTTTGTAGGATTCAGAAAATTTAAGTTAGTGTGTTCAATTCCAAATTAATTAATCGTACAGATTCGATGAATTTTTTAAAAACAAATAAATAATTTAGACAAAAGTTACTGAGTTCGTCGAATCCGTAGGCCGTGTTTAACTCCCGCCGCGGTAACAAATGAGGCTAACTTAACTTATACTCCCTCCGTTCCAGTTTATGTGAACCTATTTTCTTTTTGGTCCGTTCTAAAAAGAATGACCCCTTTCTAAATTTGAAAACAATTTAGCTTAAACTTACAATTCTACCCTTAATGAGAAGCTTTTATAATTACACAAATGCTTTGGGCCCCTTTTTAACTTGTTTAGGACCACAAATTCAAAAGGTCTTCATTTTTTCTCAAACTCCGTGCCCAGTCAAACAGGTTCACATAAAATGGAACACAGGGAGCACTAGTTATTACTCTCTCCGGTCCAAAATAAGTGATTTTTTGGATGTTTTCACACAACTTAAGAAATCCACCTTTTAGCATTAATTAGCAATAAAATTGACCATATTAACCTTTACTATCTCACATAAACACTCCTAACACATATTCCAACACCATTTACTTCAAAGACAATGTAGGAAAAAAATAATTAAGTCATTCTTGAAATCTGGAAAAATCACTTATTTTGGACCACAAGAAAAAGGCCAAAAAATCACTTATTTTGGACCGGAGGGAGTATATATATACATAATAGAAGTAGATAAGAGTGAGTTGCTCAAGTATATAGTTTTGTTATGAAAATGAAGAGTTTCTGATTAATAAATTAATTAAACTAGAATCCAAAGCAAGATTAAGCATGGAATAAAAAAAATGGTAATTTTGGTTTTACCAAGACAACAGAGTCCCTAGCAGCAATAGCTGTAATATCGGAGCAAGACACAACTTTCCCACATGCATTGTGAACCCTTTTCCTAAGATCATCAATGATCTTGAATGATCTCTTTCTTAGGGTCAAATTAGGAATTGCAGTCTGTTCACTTGGCCCTCCTGCTGATCCATCTAGCAAAACTGAACCATCACATCCCTACAATAATGCATATTTACCAATAAAGAAATTAATGATTTACTTTGAAGTAACATAATCAATCAATGGAGTGCTCTTTTTCAGTGTGTAAAATAAATTCACATATTTTTATGTATTTAGAAACTACTTTGACATGCTCTCATGGTTATAAAAATGTCATGATATGTTTAAGATTGCATATTATAAGAGTACATTAATATGTGCCGAAAGTTTCTTTCTTCACTTTTAAATTCTGCCTCCAATCAAATATCACTATATCAAAGATAACTAAAGGGTAGATATTAATCGGACTAGAATAGTAGGTATAGAAATTTAAAAAATGAAAAATTGATTACCTGAACAAAGCAATCGTGGAAATGAAGGCGTAGTAAGCCAGCAGCTTGGCCAACATCATCCTTGATCTGTTTTTCAAGTCTCTTCCTAATAATGGATTCAAGCTGAGGGCAACTAGATTCATAAAATTTCCATGAAAGACCTTTAACTGGAGCAGGTATCTGAGCTTCTGTTACAAACAAGGAAGAAGAAACAAGAAGAAGAAGTAGAAAACTTGAAGTAGTTGACACCATGGCTGCTCTCTCTTTCTATATTGGCTGGCTATATTGATACAAAGACAGCAGGAATGAGGCTCAAATTTATAACCATATAAAGTAATCCACTTGGATATTTCCATGGTTTAGACTTTTAAGAGGAATCACGAAATTTTCTACATGAAAGAGCCGCGTGGTCGTCATACTGTTTTTAGTCTTTCGATTAAGATATTTCAATTTGAGCGTTGCATAGAATGACTCCACGAATTAAAAGACATATGTCTGTTCGTTAGTTTTATTATCACGTGTATTATGCACAAAAGAGCGCTGTTTAATAGGTAGAATAAGAAAAAATTAAGTATAAAGGTAATTGACGATGCAACAAACATTTAAACGATAAACTGCAAAAATAGTGTATATGAAAATTGAATAAGAATGAATTGAGTTTAATAGCAATTGACGATGAAAAAAAGTTATTGCATTAAAGAAATAGTTGTATTCAACGTGTAGACACTAAATCGGGTGTTACAATGAAGCTTGGATGTGGTGATGTTGCTAGACCCATTAGCCGGGCCGTTGCTTACCCTCTGTCACCTGTCGAAGAATGTTGATGTGCGCCAGGAAGAATGTTGCTTTAGTTGTTAGTGGTAAGAGGAAGGCACCTCTAATATATAACATTATTGTCGACACATTCAGCGAAATAATTTCGAATGAAATAAAATTATTTGAAAAACCAATGGTCGCAAAGCGATTATTGCTTTCTTCAACAAAAGTATTCTCCTTAAATCCAATCTCAAGCTCCTTGTAAGCTGATTGAAAATTAGGATTATCACTATTAATACCTCCGTTTATGATGTAACAGATCTTGGTTTGTGTAAATGTTCTTTCCACTTCTCAATATAACAATTGAAAAGTGTAGCGTGAATTTTTGTTCCTGTAAAAAATTCCACTGTAAGTTTAATCTGATGGTTAAAACTAATATCAAAAAATTGGAATAAATTATTAATATAAAATAATATTTACCTCTTCATCAACTAATGTCACAATTTTTTCGGGTGCCTTGATTTGTCTTATTGTTGAACTCTTTTACTATTCAACTCCCAAACACTAAGACTCGTATTACCCAACATGAATCAGATACTCTTACACTATTAATTGGGACACATTGGTCTGACAATTCTTTTTCACTGGCCATTGCAGGTGTACCTAAAATAAAGCATACATAAGAGTTTTATAAGTTATCAAAGTGACTAAATCAATAATTGATTTTTGTAATGATATAAGGAAGATTGTTTACCTGAACGGATATAATTGGTGAAACCTAACACAATTATAAATCATGTAATATTAATATTACACAAAATTAAATGAGATAGTCTAAATTTTTATTTTTTTTAAAACAAGCAACTTGAGCTGGCATAACAATAAATATTATTAATTATACAACAAAAAAAATTACTAATAATTAAGTAATAAAACTTAGATCGAATGTCTAACCAATTTCTGCGATGAATTGCAATTGTTCAATAACAAGTATTAAATTTATAAATTACGTGAGAGGTGAAATTAGCCACGTCTAAAATATGAAACAAAAAATTATATAGTAAAAATTTCTTCATGCAACACTAAAGATAACTTCTCGATGCAACATTAACAATTGGTGCATGTAAATGTGCTTTCAAAATACGAAGTAGGAAAAGATGTTGATATTAGTAAAAGAAACAAAACCTGCAATCGCGTATTGGAATAAGGCGAAGTTTGACGATTAAATTAATGTGACATTATAGCTTTTCTTATAGAAGTATTTTGGTACACAATTTGACACATAAAAGGAATAATATGCTCGTGGAGAATTTATTACTATAAAATTTCCTAGTTTAGATAATTTAACAAATAATGTCATTTATTGAGAGTTGAACGAAGCACTAATAGTTTAGGAAAAAAAGTTATTAACCTTTTTAGTGTAGAAGAAATTTACCAAATATTAACTACTCCAAAGAATAAAGGGAATTTTACCAACTCCAATAGACATACGGTCATTTAATGAAAGTGAACCAAGTGTATCTTCCGTTTCCCAAAAAAATAAACAAGTAGTGAAAGTGTAGGAATTTTTTTTATTAACTTTCCTTGTTTAAGAAACTTGAAGAAAAATTGATTTATTAAATTTTCCTTTTGTGAGAAACGTAAAGAAAAATTATACCAAATAATTAAGGCAAAATTTACTAACAAATAATTCTAGCAAAATATACCAAAATAATACAAAATTAAGTAAATGATTATTTTTAAATATTAATGAAGTACTTAAATTACTATATTGTCCAATGTGAACTGTATATTTTAAAGGGTAGTAAAGGCGAACGACATTTTACTAAGGGCCTTCGTGCTTTTAATATAAATATAGATATAGATATAGATATAGATTAACTATTATTATTATTATTATGCAAATACCCAGTGTGATTATCTTTTTTATTATTACATCAAATAGAAAAGCAAAATATGTTAGCCGCCAATAAATAATGCTAATTCTATTTCGAAAAAGTGAGGGTACTACATTGTATCCCAATAATTCGAAAATTGTAATCTCAAATTTAGTTGTTAATGTTAAGTATTAATTGTTAGTCTTCTGTATTTTATAAAGTAATTCTGGAAACAAAAATTACATAAAACAAAAAATGTAGTAGAAACAGAAATTAATCTGAGCCCATTGAATTCAAAGTGTTTCCTTAAGGAACACTACTAGAAATCCAGGCAAAACCGACCAAAGTTAGTCGGTGATGGCCAATGACTGTCCAAAATGCGACAATTTACGTGTGGACACTATTTTGAAGGTCGGAAGGGCATACCGACCAAAGTTGGTTGGAAATTACCGACAAACTTTGGTCGGTCTATTAAATTCAAAAAAAAAAAAATATATATTGCCGAAAATATAATTAAAAATGAAATTGAAGAAGGCTTGAGGCGTGAGAACGACTTTCCTTAAAGAAGATATTGCCCGTACACAAATTGGGGAAATACAAACAATCTTCTTCAGGATACAACAAGCCAAGAATATACTGCAGATTTTTCTATATCCACTTTGTTGGAAGAACTTCTATTTATAGGCAACCATCGGACCTTTTAAAAAAGATGTGTTCTTTCATAAACAGATGCATCTGTTTATTCAAATAAGTTTAAAATAAAACAGATTTAATTGTAGAAATAATAAAAAATAAAATATTTATTTTAGGTTCGACCCGGCCTGCGCCCAAGTCCAAGTCCAAGTCCAAGTCCTTGATATTTTTTATATATGTATTTGCACACATATAAGAGTATGTGTTCTAAATTAAACACATAAAAGGACAAGGACTTAAAAGGCACACAAAGTGGCCTTGCACCACCGATGTGGGACAAGCCCACTTCTCCAACATCAATAACAAACTATTTTTCAAATCCGACCAAAGTGGGTCAGTGTTTTAATTATGTAATTTAAAAAATGCACCAACTGAAAATCGAACCGAGGTCTGTACTGTGGCAAGATACTACTCTACCACTAGATCGTTGGTGCATTTTATTTTTAGACTGTCTTTTATTTGATTTATACTCTTTAATTTTATTTTCGCACGAAAATAACCGATCAAAGTTGGTCGGTTTTACTAAAAATAAAATTAGCGACCAAAGTTGGTCGGTTTTTTAAGATGACCGGCCGAACTAATTGGTCGGTTTTTTAAATGAAAAACCGATCAAAGTTGGTCGATTTCTTGAAAAATAAAGTTCGCGGGACTCAAAAATAGTGTCTGCATTTTTGCGCCAAAGAAAACCGACCAAGTTGGTCGTTTTCGTAAAAAAAATTAAAAAAAAATATTTTGAAAAACCGACCAACTTTTGTCGGTTTTTTGGCCGATTTTTTGACCGACCAAAGTTGGTTGGTTGACCTTGGTCTGTTTTTGCTGAATTTCTAGTAGTGGAACTTAATCCCCTCCTAAAACTCGAGGTTGTGGATCGGATTATTTCCTTCCAGGATAGAAAGGATTATACACCAGTGTAGCGGTACTTCAAACCCAATATTTCAGCGAACACAAATGATCAGTAGAGAATTAAAATTATTGTTGCTTTGTTTAAGTTAAAAACAATGCAGAAGGAAGAAGGAGAATTCAGAATTTTCATATGAAAAATCCGAGGGAATGGCCTGGTATTTATAGCCAATAAGTTGGGTTCAAACGAAGAGGTGCAACTTTACCAGATGACTGTTCGCGTAAAACAGCATTACGTAAATGGCTATTTACGCAAAATAAGACAGAAAACTCAAACCAGAGGAAATTCAAATTACCGTTGCATAAACGGTTGATTTGGATTAAAAATATTAATTTAATTAAAATATTTAACAAATAAATTTGATCCAAAAAATTAATCTATCAGATCCAAAGCCAAGCCGAGCGAATAGAGCAAGACTTGACTTCTTCTAAAAAGCTGGAAGAAGTGCAACTACATATACACTTAACAAATTGTAACGATCTGGCCGGTCGTTTTTGGAAATTACGCCCCGATCCCCCATTAATTGCTTCCCCTAAGTTCATTTCTGCTATTTTGGTTCGCCGGGACGTTCGGTGTTGGGATTCGGAGTGTTTTGGGACACTTAGTCCCTAAATGAGAGCTTAAAGTTGAAAAATGGTCCGTAATCGGAACAGTGTGAAGACGACCTCAGAATGGAAACCCGATGGTTCCGTTAGCTCCGTTAGGTGATTTCGGGGTTGGGAGCGTGTTCGGAATGTATTTTGGAGGCTCGTAGCTCATTTAGGCTTGAAATGCCGAAGTTTGAATTTTTGAAGTTTCCGGTCCGATAGTGAGTTTTTGATCCGAGGGTCGGATTGGAATTCCAGAAGTTGCAGTAGCTCCGTCATGTTATTTGGGATGTGTGTGCAAAATTTCAGGTCATTCGGGCGAGGTTTGGTTAGGTTTTTGATCGAAAGTGTGTTTTGTTGGAATTTGAAGTTCTTAGGCTTGAATCTTTGATTTAATCGGGTTTTCGGTGTAATTTTAGGTATTTTAAGGATTGGTACAAGTTCGAATAAGGTATTAGGTGGTATTTGTGCTTTCAGTTTCCGCAGGTGCGGAAGTTTAACCG